GAATTGGGGTCATTAGCTAATAATTTATAAGACAGTGTAATGTGTTTTCTGGAATTATTGCTATGGAGACTACATAAATATACACATATAGAATACTCCACGTTGAGTTTCTCTTCTCTCCGAGAGCTCCTCTATCGACTTATTACAGAATGCGCAGCTCACTACCCGCCCACGAGCTGCGAACGTGCGTTTAAAATTGTTATTTATATGAACCTTGTACGAGTTGAACACCAAACCTTTGCCGCAACAGAGGCCTTAGTACGAGTTAGATTTACGTTGAAAGTATTTGAAACGAGTACGCGTTCGGTGCTCTGATTGGCCGGCGCCAAAGAAGCAACCAATCAGCGCGAACGCGTACTCGTTACGATTACTTTAAACGTAAAAGAAACTCATACTAAGGCCTACGAACGCGCACAGCTCGCCGACAGCTCGCAAACGAGCCCGAGCGTCACATTCGGGGCGAATTCATCAGACGTGGACGCACCTTTATAATCGATCGACCTTTTACGTTCTATAAACTATTGCGCAAAGATTTCAATAACAACAACATTCAGTTTTTATAATGACTATCGTCAGATATACTGAATTATCCAAAACGGTATACTCATTTAAATATACTGAGAAAAACTCTACTAGTTTCAAATTACAGAGTTCATGAGGAAAAGTCTCTATGTGACTGGAAACGTCACACAATATTAGTAATGTTGTGTGCAAAGTTAGCTAAATCGGGTAGGTACTTGCCAACTAGTCAAATTTAATATTTTTATAGAACTATCAAAAATGACAGTTTTTACGAATTCTGTATGAGATTGTGTATTGTGACGTTACGTTTTTTTAGCTTCAAACAGCATACTTATTACGTAAAAAAATTGCTGAATATATATTAAAACTAAGTTGGTCAAAAAATCTATTAATAAAAGTGTAATTATTTTTTAATATTTAACAATAGAATATTATATGTATATGTATTTAACAGTCGAAATAATTTATTTTTGAATAAGGAAAGTAACTATTGTAGATATGGCTTTTGCATCGAGTCCCCCTCTAGCTTAAATATTTTTTTTTAATAGACCTCTTACTTTTGCAATGATACAAATATTATATGCGATACGAGTGATATACAAGGTGTAGTTTTGAAACCGTGACATTTCTTGGGGGCATGTCACAGAAGTCATAAAGGTTCAATGCAAGAGAGAGTTTCGGGCCAATAGTTAAAAATATGGTTATAATAAATCGTTTAAGTTCGACAGTATTTCAGAATAATTGACAGAAATGTTTCTTATACGAGTTTTACGGAATTAAGAACAATATCAATTACGTGTTTGAGTTTGTGTGTGTTAAGCCGCGTTATTAACTTAGTTACAAGACAGCGACGTGTAGTTCGCAGTTACGGATTTCCGTAATTTATAAAAAAGTGAAAAATATTTACCTACAATTTTTTTATTGATGCGAACTCAGAATCGATAGCCGAGTTACCTCCTAGAAAATGACGCGACTTTAAAACAACACCTTGTATAATTATAGCCTAAATTATTTATTGGGATTTTACTAATATTTCCGGATTTAAATAAGAATTCTGACGATATAATAATATATAAAACACTTTTTTAATCAAGAACCAATCGGACACAAACAAAACAAAAGTCCAAAAAGAAAACAAAGTCCACACAAACCATAGATAGCAAAGAGAATATAACAGCAAAGAGAGAGAGAGCAATACTCCATACATAGTTATAATAGTACAATTTATAACTTGACATTATTATTGTAAACAAGAACAATTATTTTAGTATGGTGGATGAAAATATTCTTTTCGAAATACGGTATAAAATATTAAATTGTCATAAAATTTAATGCCAGTATGACGTGTGTAAATATTATTCCAATCGATGCTTATTTGCCTCCGGATCAAGATTGAAGTTTCGATATTTAAAATTTCAAAGTCAAAGTTATTTAAATACTGGAAAAATGGGGATGATGACAGGGTATGAAAATTAAAAATATAATTAGTCCGTAACTTAGGTAATAAAAAAATATTAGACACGTATTTTTTTATTTTGTTGTATAATAAAACAATACTTAGATAAAACGAATCAAAGTTTAGGAGTGGGGGCTAAAACGTCATTTCTTAGTATAAAATGTACTGAGAAGTGACGTCACGCGACATTTCAAATCAATATATCTTCGAAACTATTCGTTTCCGTAAGAAAATAAAAAATACGTGTCTAATGTTTTTAAATAATCTACCAGACGGACATTAAAATAAAAATTAGTCGTCTACCCCATTTAAAGGTTGGTAAAGGTTCAAACCTTTAAAGGTTAAAAATGAAAAAAAAATGCATCTTAAGTTTAAAATTCGAAAACATTGCCATTCACCAAAGTTGTAATGATGGAGGAAGATGAATGAACATTTATGGACATTAATATTGACCAAAATCGAGGTTAAGTTCCTTAACGACAGAGCTAGACTGTTATTGACCCAGTTACACAAAAAAAATAGCCTTTTTTGGACACCCTGAAAAGCTAATGCCAACGTCACCAAATAGTAAAAAAACAAGAGAATAACACTGCATCGTATTTGAAAAAACATTGTAATGATGCATTTCAAAAATTGAGACTGTTTCAGGACTTGGATATACAGGTGGATGCAAGTAATAGCAACTGATATTAATCAATTAAAAATATGGGAGAGCCATGCTTCGGCACGAATGGGCCGGCTCGACCGGAGTGATACCACGGCCTCACAGACGTGAAACAACGCTTGCGTTGTGTTTCATCGTGTGAGTGAGGTTACCGGAGGCCCAATTACCCCCCTCCCTAGTCCCCGTCTCCCGAATCCCCGAATCCTCCACAATCCTCAAGTTCCCAATTTCCAAAAGGCAGGTAACGCACTTGTAACGCCTTGGTGTTTCGAGTGTCCATGGGCGGCGCCGATTGCTTACCATCAGGTGATCCGTCTGCTCATTTACCGGTTTATGCTATTAAAAAAAATCCAACAACTAGAAACACTTCACAATCCTGGGATAAGGATGTGTCGCAAGTACAACGAGCTACCCTCGAGTGACATGGCTTAATATCCACAATACCTCGCTTCATAAATTTAAAAATATTATTAGGAAATTGTTATTTGCTCGGTCTGATGATGACGATAATATTGAGTAATGTATCTATTGTTTAATTCAGAGGTGTAGAAAGATTTGAAGTAAGGTAGGCAGAAGATATCACATGATTGAATATAAAATTTGAATATAAACTCCGAAAATACAACTCCCGAAATATCATAATTTTGAGTAGGTAATTCGGTTTAGTATTTTATTAATTTGTATAATCGACTCTACACGTGACCAGAGGGCTGGCTATTTCTTCGGACAGAAAATAAGCATTGCCATTCAACGTGGCAATGCTGCCAGTCTTCTGGGAACGTTCCCCTGTGATAGTGATGCGGACGAATAATTTGACGCCTAAATTGAGACTTGTTTTTTTTTTACTTTCGTTTTATTTTATAGTTTAGTTGTAGTTCATTTTAAGTTGTAAATATTTATGTAGTTATGTATATTTATAATGAAGAGAATTATATAAATAAAAAATTGTATAACCAAATTAATTATTTTAAAACTATACGTGTCTAAAGTTAGATCAATAGGCACCAACATATCTATTAACTAGGTACCTATTTTGGAGCGGCGAAGTACAAATGGCTACACATCAAGCTATGTGTTTCTGTTTTGTGCGATTAATGAATAGTTAAAAAAATAAATGTCCTTATAGCTCGAGGAGAGGTTTACAAAATATATGTTTATGCTTACCACGTCACACCCATGCCATTGAAAGGTCGAATAAAGCTGTAACTGAAACTTCAGAAACTGTCTGATCAAAAGTAAATCGCGAAGGTGTCATAAAAGCCGAGAGGGAATATTGTAAACTTGCCTAAACCATAATCTAATGGTAAAAGGATTTTAAAGTAAATTAAATAATGCTAATCGTAATTGAAAAACCATTAATATTTTATGTTTATGATTTCACAGTTCATTAAAATACTGATTAACTATTAAGTTTTATCATTAATTACATTAATCCAATATCATTAGAATGTAATTTTTTTAAATTGATAATTATGATATATTTTTTCATATCTTTCAAAACGTTAAGGTCAATCCGGAGGCAGAAGACACTAATTCAATTATCACAATTTTTTTATACTAGGTCCTACTACAAAGAACTTATTTTAATTACTATTGGAGCGAAGCTAAATTTGTCCGATGCGCTGCGTTGCATCGTCTCACAGCTTTGTTTTCCATACATTGTTTTATGATATTTCCCATTAGAGCGTTGCATAGTTCCAACGTATAAACGGACAAGAGACAAAGCGGGAGATAAAGTGATGCCTTGCGTCGACAGACAGTCATCACGTCGCGTGTCGGCGCAACCCTGATGGGGCATACAAAGCCGGGTCCAAACATGATCATTTGACCGATCCTATCACCGTATCCGATCACCGTATCCGTATCTGCGTATTGTATCAAGCCCCGTATCAAGTTGTGGACGCCTCCGATTTGCTCCGTATCCGTATCTTCACAATAGTCATGATCGCGTATCAAATTCCCAGGTCCCATAATACTTGCTTTTCTTTATAGGCCTTAATTTAATAACATTTTCATTGTTCCAATTCATTGTTTTTACTTCACGGCAAGGACTGATAATGACGCGCACGTCGAATAGACTGAGCGTCGCGAGTGACGCGTCCGTATCTGTATCACCTTTGATGATAGGACAAAAATCGACACGACATGTGGCGGGCTGTATCATAACGGCGTATCGAGATCCCGTATCATGAGACGTATATCATTACCCGTCCACATATGCGATCATGATACGCGTCGATAATACGGATACGGTGATCGGATCGGGCAAATGATACATGTCTTTTTTTTTAACGGGTGAAAATCATCGAATGACTGCTCCCGCCTGGGTGAGGCGGGAGGGAGTGTCAGACTCTTACTGACTAAAAACCACCCCGTTCCTTCTCCTGCATGTCGAGTCGGAGCCCCGGTTGCCCGTTAGGTTCTCCGCGACAAATGATACATGTCTGGACCCGCCTCAAGATATTGTTCCGTTGATACGACGCGACGCAACGGACAAGTGTAAGTGTAACTCACTTCTTGACAAAAATACATTTTTATCTCATATAAAGGTAACATTCACTATTAGTTTAGTCAACTGTTAAATTCCTGAAAGACCCGGGCATGCCCATATATTCTTCATTGAACTTTTCCGTGTGTCGTTTGGATTCATCCGTGGCGGCTTTGTACATCATTTTCAAATGCTCTACGTGTTTATCAGAGGACAGTTCATCCACCCATTCAGCTGTAATCAAATTAAAGTCAATTAACAATTGGAAGAATTTATGAGATACCTCACCCTTCGAATCATGAAATCATTAAAATCAACAACATTTCACAATAAATACAACTGAATCGATGCTGATGAGATTTGTTCCAAACCATTGGAATGAACCTTGGAAAAGACTAAATAAAAAATTCTAAATTTGCCAGAAGTCATTATTATACGCGGACGAAGTCGCAGGGAACAATTAGTAAGTAAATATTTAGGTATTAGAATTATTCAACATGAATGTACTGTTACCAATATCATGCTTTCCTTACCTTGCATTTTATAAAAAGATTTTTCTTTGCCTCCGTACTCTTCTGGCAGAAGATCTCTGGGCACTATTTCATATAAATCTTCTAGAGTCTTGTGCACTTGAATTCTGTTGCCAATCTTTTCACTAAGAAGCTGCTTAACAGTAGATACAAGAACTTCTATAGCCTTGGAATCTGTTATAAAGTGCAAGTTCTTTATTCTTCCACCGTATCCTTTCTGAACAGAATATGATAGACATACATCAATATTAGTGTTAAAAATACCGCTAAAATTAAACCTAATTGAATGAAAGTGTGGGAGAGCCATGCTTCGGCACGAATGTGCCGGCTCGATCGGAGTGATACCACGGCCGAGCAGAAAAGCCATGTGAAGCAACGCTTGCGTTGTGTTCTGTCGTATGAGTGAGGTTACCGGAGGCCTAATCACCCCTCTTCCCCAGCCTCATCAATCCTCAAATTCCCAATAGGGTTGTTTCCTAAATTTTATTTTAATGTCCGTCTGGTAGATTAATTTAAAAATTTAAACACGTATTTTTTCTTTTCTCATAAAATTAAATACTTTCAACGATATAATTGAAATATCGTGTGACGTCACAGCGTACCACATTTTGTAGCAAGTTATAACGTAACGACCTCCCACTCCTAAACTTAGCGCCATTTTATCGCAGTATTGCAACTTAAACTGTCAAACGCCAAACGGTCACCGGTGACCGTTACCTATTGTTCTATAATTGTGTCTACAAAACCGGTACTCGACGAGTTAATACGAGAATGTAAAAAATACGTGTCTAATATTTTTTTATTATCTAACTGACGGACTAACTAGATTTTTAATTTTGATACCCTGGAAACTACCCAATTCCCAAAGGGTCGGTAACACACTTTTAACGCCTCTGGTATTACGGTTGTCCACGAGCGGCACAGATTGCTTACCATCGAGCGATCCATCTGATCGTGTACCTATATATATCGACTCGACGCGTGACCAGAAGGCTGGCTTTTTCTTCGGACAGAAAATAAGCATTGCCATTCAACGTGGCAATGCTGCCAGTCTTCTGGGAACGATAGTGATGCGGACGAATACTTTGACGCCTAAATTAAGGGTATAATTTTTGTTGTATTCTTTTTTACTTTCGTTTTATTTAATAGTTTAGTTGTAGTTAATTTTAAGTTGTAAATATTTATGTAGTTATATATTATGATACTTACAATTAAAATATTGAGAAATGGTTGAACATCCGGGCTTGTCAGTCGTGTGATAAGGTTGAACAAGTTTACGTCGCGATAATCAATTACTAATATATATCCATGGATGTAGTCGTTATTACGAATGTAATCAGCAAGCTGAAAGTAGGAAACACATTTCATCTATATGAGTTATGAGAGACTGCATGGGGTCTCGGGTTCGATTCCCGGGTCAGGCAAAGTATTACTGGGTGTTTAAAAAAATCTCTGTAGTAGCACCGAGTCTGGAATTGTGCCCGGTAATTGGCAATAGGCTCACCCCCTAATACATGGGACTCATAAAATAAATAGTGAAAAGTGGGTGTAACTTCTCTGTGCACTTCTGCCTACCCCTTTAGGGATAAAAGGCGTGATGTTATGGTGTTATGAGTTATGAGATATTTTATAAAACATAACATAACATAACATGAACATAACATCACGCCTTTTATCCCCGAAGGGGTGGGCAGAGGTGCGCATTATGTCACTGTACAATATAACACCCACTTTTCACTATTTATGTTATGACTTCCATGTAATAGGGGGTGAGCCTATTGCCATATAGGTACCGGGCACAATTCCAGACTCCGTGCTACTACTAAGATTTTTTTTAAAAACCCAGTAATACTTTGCCCGACCCGGGAATCGAACCCGAGACCCCTTGCCCGGCAGTCGCACTTGCATCCACTCGACGAGTGAGGCAGTTTAAGTCATAATTCATATTATACTTATATATACAGATATGCATAATTATGAATTTATTTATATTTAAAAAAAAAAACGTTGCGCCACTTTAGGATTTTCTCCTGTGTCGTGGGTGCGTTTACAAACATACAAGTTCACATACACATGACACCCAGACCCGAAACAACAATTTGTGGATCACACAAAGCGCTGTTCCGTTCAGGAATCGAACCCGCGACACGTTGCTCGGCAGCCAGTTGCCCAGCCACCGCACCAATCGTGCAAACCAAGAGATATATAAATTTATTCTGTGTCACATACATAAATTGAATTATAATACCTATTATACCTACTGTTGCACATCTCTGCATCACCCCATGGTTGACTGTTAGAGAATGCCACCCGGCATCAAGTCCGCCATCGTATGTTATATACAGAAGTGAAATAAATAATAATGATATGTACTTACAATTAAAATATATTGAAAGAACTGTAATATTTCCTCTGGCGTCAGGTCGTTATTGAAAGTTTTGATCAAAACTAATCTGTAGTAATCATCTGACATGTGGGGGAGAGGAATTACCCATCTGTAATAGAAATAATCAAAGTCAAAGTCAAAGCATTTATTTCAATCCTTACTATAATATTATAAATCGGAAAGTGCGTTTGTTTGTTTGTTTATTTGTTCCGCTTTCACGCCGTAACTACTAAACCGATTGCTTTGAATTTTTGCAAACGTAAAGTTAGAAGTCTGGATTAAACAATAGGGTACTTTTTATCCCGGGAAAATTTGATATCCTCGAGGAAAAACGAAATCATTGGTATAGATGGCGCTGTGTATGTATGTCACATAGGCTACTTTTTATCCTTTTGTAACGCGAGCGAAGCCCCGGGTAAAAGCTAGTAAAACCATAATTTGGATCTTTTGAAACGTCAACAAATACAAAATAAATAATAGTCTGTCAGTCAGTCCGTCAGTGAAGCTAGGTGAAGCTAGGTGCTCATTCCAAAATGTAGATTTGAATGGAGAAGAACTAGCAAGAAACTCCATTCGTAACTCTTTTTAAAAAGTATGTTCTACAATGTTTCTGATACATATTCCAATACTGTACGTATATGTGAGTGACATTATCCCCATGATGATGACAGGGTATGAAAATTAAAAATCTAAGAAGTCCGTCAGTAAGGCAATTAAAAAATATTAGACACGTATTTTTTATTTTCTCGTGTAATAAAACAATACTTAGATAAAAATAATCAAAGTTTAGGAGTGGTGGAGGTAGCTACGTCATTTTAGAGTATAATAAATCATACTCAAAAGTTACGTCATGCAATATTTCAAATTCGTGTATCTTCGAAAGTATTCGTTTTTGTAAGGAAATAAAAATATGTGTCTAATGTGTTTAAATAATCTACCAGACGGACATTAAACTGTCAAACACCAAGCGGTCACCGGTGACCGCAACCTATTGTTCTATAATTGTGTCTATAATGACGGTGCTCGACGAGTTAAAATGAAAGTTACACATCTACCCTATTATGATGTCGCAGAGAACCTGACGGGTAGCCGGGGCTCCGGCTCGACGTGCAGGAGAAGGAACGGGGGGTTTTTAGTCAGTAAGAGTCTGACACTCCCTCCCGCCTCACCCAGGCGGGAGTAGTCATTCAATGATTTTCCCCACTTAAAAAAAAACCCTATTATGATGCATAGTATATACTTATATCATAATGTGACCAGACGTCCCGTTTTGAACGGGATTGTCCCTTTTTATTATTACGAGTCCCATTGTCTCCTCAATGAACTCTGGTACGCAAAATTGTCCCGTTTACGGGAACCACACGTAAACCCTAATACTCGAACCTATGCGACGACCGTTCGGACGGCTCGAGTCGTGTGCGAGAGCGATACAGCGCCATACATAAATCGCTGATTTTTGACGAAAAACAGTCGATAAATCTTTAATTACTTACATTTTAGTGCAGTTGCTAATACTGCTATTGTTAACCTTTATGATGAAGGTACAAAGTTTGTGTTTACAGGTTCTATAATAAGATTAATGTGTGCTGAATCTAAATAAATGTCAATCCCGCCTTGAGTCAAAAAATAAATGGTTATCTATGTTATATGTACTGCCTCGTTACGTTGCGTCCTGCGTGAGCGATCTAGGTGCGATCTAGGCTTTTTACCCCTGAGAATGCGGGCAAAACCGCTAGCAGAAGCTATTAAAAATATAAAATATCATCACGCCTTTTACCCCCGAAGGGGTACACAGTAGTGCACATTAAGGCACTTAATGGCACTGTACAATGTAACACCCATTTTTCACTATTTATGTTATAAGACCCATGTTTTGGAGGGTGAACCTATTGCCATATACTTACTGGGTACAGTTCCGGACTCCGTGCTACCACTGAGATTTTTTTAAACTCAATACCTTACGTGACCTGGAAATCGAACCCGAGAATCCTTGCTTGGCAGTCGCACTTGCGACAACTTGGCCGACAAAACAGTCGAATTTATGTACATGTGTAAATTATTAAGTTCAAATAAATAATTAATGTCAGAAATTCCGACTACGATTTAAAGATATTTATAAAATATTGTATCTATTAATATATATTTATTCTATAGGTATTTATGTGTGTAGTATACATATTACATAACTTTTTTTTATTTTTTTAATTCTGTTCTGGCTTCGCATCAACCACTTCATTTCTCTGCACTTCCCTATGGTTGACTGTAAGAGAATGCCTTAAGGCATTAAGTCAGCCATTCACTGTTGTATTTTGTGAAGAGGAAAATAAATAAATAAATAAAGATGGATACATAATAATTCTCCATTCGAGAAACCTTTGATAAGATCTTAAAAAGTCTTGCCCTTGATCAATATAAAATATAGGTACTCTTTCTATAACACCTTGATATTATTTATTTAAAACAGTTTACTTTGAACATGACATTTACTAATTGATATTGGGTCATTCTCACTTCGAAAATAAAAATATTATGTTTGCAAAGCAATATTCACTTTTAGCCAGTTAAAATCGCGAGACCTTCTCCGGCCACCGCAAGCGCGGGCCTGCGGATGGCGAGCATGGGTGGCTCGCCGCCCGACCAGAAACAGACCCCAGCGTACGGCGCGTCGCGTTCCGCGCGCGCCTCAAAGAGCCATCAGACCACCACAGATGGGGCCCAATACGGCCGATGCCGATTCGGAGTCGCGGAGAACCTAACGGGTTACAGGGGTTCCGGCTCGACGTGCAGGAGAAGGAACGGGGTGGTTTTTAGTCAGTAAGAGTCTGACACTCCCTCACGCCAGTTAAAATTAACTATAGCTACACACAACATTATTTGACTGCCTCGTTGGCCGAATGGTCGCAAGTGCGGCTGCCGGGCAAGGGGTCTCGGGTCCGATAAAGTAAAAGGAAACCAGTAGTAGCACGGAGCCTGCAATTGTGCCCGGTATATGGCAATAGGCTTACCCTCTAGTACATGGGACTCATAACATAAATAGTGAAAAGTGGGTGTTATATTGTACAGTTGCATAATGTATACCACTCGGCCAACGAGGCGTGATGTTATGTTGTTGATCAACATTTTTTTTTGGCCAATTTATGAGTCGTTTTTAATATTATCTACTTACACTTTTTGCAAAATTGCCTGTAGCTCAACTTTCACGTTGTATCTTGAAAAAAATCTTGGTACCATAGTCTTCATTGTGCACAACATATCTATTTGTCTCTTCGCCCTTTCCATTGACCCTTTGCATGTTACAATCGCTGTCTCAAAAAACCGCTTACCTGAAAACACAGAACATAACATTATAAATGACTTTTTTAACAATATCAGAACCATACTGCAGCACGAATGGGCCAGGTCGACCGGAATGATACTACAGCCTCAACGACAATTGACGTGAAACAACGCTAGCCTTGTGTTTTCGCGGAGAACCTAACGGGTAACCGGGGCTCCGACTCGACGTGCAGGAGAAGGAACGGGGTGGTTTTTAGTCAGTAAGAGTCTGACACTCCCTCCCGCCTCACCCAGGCGGGAGCAGTCATTCGATGATTTTCCCCCCGTAAAAAAAAGCCTTGTGTTTGTGTGAGTATGGTTACGCAATGCCCAACTACCCCTTACTAACATATCCAATCCACGAATCCTTATCAATTATCAAATTCCTAATACCTAAAAGGCCAGTAGGTTTAAGACGCCCGCTTCTCATGCATGAGGGTGCGGGTCCGGAAATTATCCACCGGCAAGTACCAATGTAACTTTTTGCGAGTTATATGTACTTTCTAAGATTATTCAGACACCACTGACAAACGGTGAAGGAAAACATCGTGAGGAAACCGGGGCTTATAATTTCTAATTATAAGTTTGTAATCGCCAACCCGCATTGAGCAAGCGTGGTGATTAATGCTCAAACCTTCTCCGAGTGAGAAGAGGCTTTGCTCAGCAGTGGGCATTTATAGGCTGTTGATAATGGTGATGAAAAGGCCAGTAACGCACTTTTTTTTTAATAGGACAAGTCTGCCACAGCCAAAAACGCTGCAACTCCTGTAAGCCAGGATCTACAGTAGATACAACCATGAAAACACCGGTAACGCACTTGTAATGCCTCTGGTGTTTCAGGTGTCCATGGGCGACGCCGATTGCTTACCGTCAGGTGATCCGTCAACTCGTTTACGGCAGGTCCGACATTTTCTATTATAAAACATAATATATACACCTATAAGATATAAAATCAGAAACCATTTAAGTATTTATAGTTCTATTTTAAGCGATGAATAATTAAATGTTGCATTTTGTAGTTCTTATTATAGATGAAGGTCAGAGATCGCGCGTTAATCTGCAGTCAGAAATTGATATTTTTAAGTTTAATTAATTGTTCTGGTTGAAACTGAGTACAGCCAGCACAGAAACCTACTCCAATATTTTATGTCAATTTTTGTCATTGGATTCTCGGTTTTATATTTAAACGATAAAGTTATAATTCCAATAAAGAAATTTGAGATTATACAGTGCGCATTCTAAAATGTGGCATAATTAAAATAGGTTTTTTCTCGATTTCATATTTTCGGAATTTCGGAAAATCCGCTCTTAGTGATCACCTAGAATAGAGTTCAATTTACTATACGTAATTAATATGCCTGTCAAATATTAGGTTCCTTGTCAAGAGTTTTATAAAGTTATGGGCGTCACTATTTAAGTATATACTGTAGGAGTAGAAACGGAGTGGTTTCCACTCAATAGGATTCTGTCAAAGTCAAAATCAAAGCATTTGATTCAATTTATTCTTAAATAGGCACTTTTGAAACGTTAAAAATTGAATTGGGATGATGACAGGTTATGAAAATTAATAATCTCATTAGTCCGTAAGTTAGGTAATGAAAAAATATTAGACACGTATTATTTTATTTTGTTGTATAAATAATGAAATATTACTTAGTTATATTAGAACGAATCAAAGTTTAGGAGTGGGGGTTAAAACGTCATTAGTACGTATAAAAGTGACGTCACACGACATTTTAAATCAATATATCTCTGAAAGTATTCGTTTCTGTAAGAAAAAAAAAATACGTGTCTAATGATTTAAAATAATCTACCAGACGGACATTAAAACAAAAATTAGGCATCTACCCTGTTGTCTTTCTGTCTGTCTATCAGTGAACGCGCTCGTTTAAAAGTGTAGTTTCTACTGGAGAAGAAAGAGAAAGCAACTCCTGCCAAACTCTTTAAAAAAATGCAGGGTGGAAGGAGTCAGTATTTGATAGTTTTGCATCTTCACTTAGTAGATATTGTATGCATTGTCTAACAGTCAGTCGCAAATCGCAATATCTTTTTTTTTTGTAGCATAAGCCGGTAAACGAGCAGACGGATCACCTGATGGTATGCAATCGGCGCCGCCCATGAACACTCGAAACACCAAGGCGTTACAAGTGCGTTACCGGCCTTTTGGGAATTGGGAATTTAAGAGTTGTGGAGGATTCGGGAATTCGGGAGACGGGGATTAGGGAGGGGAATAATTGGGCCTCCGGTAACCTCACTCACACGACGAAACACAACGAAAGCGTTGCCTCACGTCGGTTTTCTGTGAGGCCGTGGTATCACTCCGGTCGAGCCGGCCCATTCGTGCCGAAGCATGGCTCTCCCACACTTATAGGTATATCTATTGGTTTTAAACAAGATAATTATAATTAGGTATGATAAATTCTAACATTAATTTCATCAGTCCTAGTCGCGAATGCATGTTGAATTATTCATGACAAAATAATAATTAAATCTAAAACAGATATTAATTTATTTTAGAAACAAAAAATTCGCTGAAAATAATTCACGGAAATATTGAAATGCGCATAATATGCATTTAATTTTATTAACTAACTTCAAAAAAAAGGTTCATAGTTTGAATTGTTGGTATGTATATATGTTCGTACGCAGTTATCTCACAGTTGGCTGAACCGATTGTCATCAGTCTCCCGCAAAATGTTTGTTATATACGTATTTTTTTTAAGGGGGCAAAATCAACGAATGACTCCTCCCGCCTGGGTGAGGCGGGAGGGAGTGTCAGACTCTAAAAAAGTCAAAACATTTATTTCAATTAAACCATAATTTGGTACTTTTGAAACGTCAACAAATACAAAATAAATAATAGTCTGTCAGTCAGTCCGTCAGTTAAGCTAGGTGAAGCTAGGTGCTCATTCCAAAATGTAGATTCGAATGGAGAAGAACGAGCAAGAAACTCCATTCGTTTCTCTTTTTTAAAAAAAGTATGTTCTACAATGTCTCTGATACATATTACTTACTGACTAAAAACCACCCCGTTCCTTCTCCTACACGTTGAGCCGGAGCCCTGGTAACCCGTTTGGTTCTCCGCGACTGTTATATAGGTATAGGATAAGGTTTTAGTATATTAATGAACGTACTTCAAAATAAAAAGGGGTTGACGTCGGATTCTTTAAACGTAGTTTATTTATAATACAATTATTCTTATGTACTTACAAATGGAATACGTTTTATTCTTATTTAATTGTAGCTATTAGATATTGAGGATGACACAAAATTTCAAAGATATAATTATTTTCCAATTTGCAAAGAATTTGGTTTAAGAAACGTAACATACCATCACGCCTTTTATCTCTGAAGGGGTAGGCAGAGGTGCACATTACGGCACTTAATGCCACTGTACAATGTAACACCCACTTTTCACTACTTATGTTGTGAGTGCCATGTAATGGGGGTTGGGCCTATTGCCATTACCGAACATACATACCGAACACATTTCCAGACTTCGTGCTACTACTGGGATTTTTTTTTAAACTCAATAATTCTTTGCCCGGTCCGAACATACATACCGAACACATTTCCAGACTTCGTGCTACTACTGGGATTTTTTTTAAAACTCAATAATTCTTTGCCCGATCCGATCCGAGCAGTCACACTAGCGACTGTTCTGCCAACGAGGAAGTCGAGTTTAAGAAACGTACTTTTAAAATTGTATAGGTAATGATTACTGTTTTTTTGTGCATGGAAAATCCAATGGATTATACGATTTGTGAAAATGTCTAATAATTACAAAAATGTTATTGCAATCTTATTACAATGTAATCGTTATTATTATATAAATATATTATTGTAATCTTCAATCTTAAAAGATTTTAGTAAAGAATTAAAAATTTCGAAAAACTAAAAATAGGTAGGTAATCAAATTGAATAATTAAGTAGTCTCAACAAAAGATATTTAAAACCAAAATTTAACCTTGGTTTGGAGCTTGTTATACAAATTTTTAAAACTGGTCTAATGATACGTTTATTTATAAAATGTAATGTGAAATTATAAAATCAATTAGGCTGATTTTAGTCTGACGCAGAGGCCCGCGCACCGTCGGCGCTGATGATCGAGATATATGAACTACATGGACACCACGTGTCATTAAAAAGCGCTTCCTACAAGTTCATATATGAATCTCGACCTATGCAACACTAAAACTGACCTTAAAGTGTCTAATAATAGAAGTTGCAGCTATTTTTGCATTATGCAATTATTATTAAGAATGGAGGTCATCAATAAAACGTAGTAAAGTTTATTTATACTTAATGCTATAGAAAACAAATAGGTTAAGTGTAAATCGCTAATGTGTTAAATTAAGGTGAAAAGGTAGCAAATGGGTCACTTAAACTGTCAAACACCGAGCGGTCACCGGTGACCGCAACTTATTGTTCTATAATTGTGTCTATATTGACGGTACTTGACGAGTTAATGTTATAAGCCATCAGCGTCGCGGGCCTTCGGACCAGAACCAGACCGAGCGTACGGCGCGTCGCGTTTCCCGCGCGCCTCAAAGAGCCATCACACCACCACGGATAGGGCCCAATAGGACTGTTGCCGATTTGGAGTCGCGGAGAACCTAACGGGTTACCGGGGCTCCGGCTCGAAGTGCAGGAGAAGGAACGGGGTGGTTTTTAGGCAGTAAGAATCTGACACTACCTTCCGCCTCACACAAGTGGGAGAAGTCATTCGATGATTTTCACCCCTTAAAAAAAGTCAGTTTGTATTACCAGCTTTGAGATTTTCAGTCTTATTGGATGCTTATTTTGTCATGTAATATTGCCGTGACCTAACTAGGTTTCATGTCAAACTTATCAACTTATGTAATATCTAAGTAAACATAAAATAAAGGATTTGAGTTTGAGTTGCTTCGGCACGAATGGGCAGGCTCAACCGGAGTGATACCACAGCCTCACAGAAAACCGACGTGAAACAACGCGTTCGTTGTGTTTCGTCGTGTGAGTGAGGTTAGCGGAAGCCCAATTCAATGTACAGAATTTACACGTCTACAGTTTTATTATAAGTAAGGGTTTTTTTATTCAACCCAATGAAAACGTAATATACCTTATTATAAGTTCAGGTATCCAAAAACAAATGAACAAACAAAAGCAGAAGAAACTCACTGAAATCCTTCTTGATGATATGAGGCTGCTTCTGCACCCAATCTTCTAAAATCTTGATGGTCTCATCCAACCTTTTCGGGTCATCTAGACCATAGAGCTTCCTGACATCATTTATCATTTCTGGAGTGGTATTCAGCAAAGGATTTTCACTTGAACCCATACTGTAAGTGTGTAATAAGGTTTATTTTTCAATGACACTTATTTTAATCGAGACTGGTAGTTGAGAAGTTGATTGATATGTATTTTGTTCGCCTGTGTAATCACGACTGGGTTTTATATCTCGCGTTGAGTTGTCTTTATAAGTTTTTGTATGACATTTCTTGTGACACACACACATGGACGGATGTAGAAAATTTTATACGTATATACGAGTATTAATTATAGCATTAACATTTTTATTGTCTTATTGGTTCAATACAAGTAGGTACTACCGACCACAAGATCTTGATTTTGAATTCTCGAATAAATAAATAATAAAAAAGACACGTCTTTTTGCCAAGGAGAAAAATAATAACTAGGTATATATTAAATGTAACACCTATTTTTACCCGACTGCCAAAGAAGGAGGGTAATGTTTTTCGAGTGTATGTAAGTATGTATGTATGTCTTTTCCTTTGTGACCACCTGTAGCCTAAACGGCTTGATGGATTTTGATGTATGAGGTATCGTTAGATTTGTCTTGATTACGGGAGTGTCATAGGATACATTTTATCCTAAAAGTCCCACGGGATAAAGACATAATAATATTTTTTCTAAATTTCCCTTTAAAAAAATATGTATGCGGTATCATTAGATTCATTTCAATCACGGGAGTAATTAATATAGGATACGTTTTTTCTCAAAATTCCCACGGGAACATGTTAATTCTGCGTCAACGCAAAGCAACTCATGCGTTAGCAAGCAAAAAGATAGGGCGTGGCCTGGCATGCGGCGCGCGGCGCGGTGCGGAGGGGGATATGCTCGAGTATACAGCCCGATTGCGGGCACACGCATGAGGGCACACGTCGTTGACGGTCGTCTCTAAATAGCGATTTTATTCGATATATCCCTATTTGTATATATCGAAATAAAAACAGCTAAAAAGTTATAAATAAAAAAATTATTATTAAAAAAACAAAATACCCGACTGCACACTAAAAAAAGAGTAAAACAAGCCCCACAATAATATTGATCAATCAAATGCTAAAAACTAATTATGTAATACCGTTTAAACAATACCTATATTAAAATACACTACAATATGTGTTCGTAATCGATAGTTAAATAAACAGAAACTTATTTTGAATACAAATTTACTGAATATAATTTATAAATGTTGATGGAATGCATCGCAGGCGGGGACCAACAGAGGCTTATTTATAGTCATTTCGGTTGTGCACCATTTAGCAGAATTTTCGTTGGTGGCGGTCAAGGTGGTCCCCGCCTGCGATGCTTTCCATCAACATTTATAAATTATATTCAGTAAATTTGTATTCAAAATAAGTTTCTGTTTATTTAACTATCGATTACGAACACATATTGTAGTGTATTTTAATATAGGTATTGTTTAAACGGTATTACATAATTAGTTTTTAGCATTTGATTGATCAATATTATTGTGGGGCTTGTTTTACTCTTTTTTTAGTGTGCAGTCGGGTATTTTGTTTTTTTTTGTAAATTGTACACAGAACAGCCAGTAAGTCAATCTACTCTTGATTGAAGGTACAACCACCTTTTATCACGCCTTTTATCCCCGAAGTGGTAGGCAGGCAGGTACAAAGTAATACTCACTTTTCACTATTTATGTTCTGAGTTCTATGTAATAGGGGTGAGCCTATTGCCATATACTGGGCACATTTCCAGACACCGTGTTACCACTGAGATAAAAAAAAACAGTAATACCTAGCCCGACCCGGTAACCGAACCCGAGACCACTCGGCCAATGAGGCAGTCAACGACACCACAGTCTCGTGATGGATATTGTTGGTCCCACCAGCTATCCGAAACGAATCTCCTTAAATTTCATTATTCGAACTGCTAAGAAGTAGAATTCTTTGCTAGAGTCTGTATTTCCTGATAACCTGGATAAGATAACCTGGGTGTCTTAAAGTTGCGAGTGAACAGGATGCTTGTATGCATGATCGCTTACCACCAGGTGAGATAGTAGCCAAACGCCGGGCCCTTGCGCAAAAAATGAGCAATAAAGTTTATAATCGAATAAGTTTTGTTAGAAAGGAATTTGTTCACCTGCTGGCGTCTTCATATAGGTACATTCCATGTATGTTATGTAATGGGAGCAGAGGTAGCCTGTTGCCATACACTGAGCATTTTAAACTCTCAACTAAAGAACATATAAAATCCATAACATGTAAAAAAACTAATCGGTCCATTAAATATTTTATCGCATTTTATTTATTTTATAAAACTATAAAACTGTGATAAGGTAACGGTAATAGAGAAAAAAATGTAAATAATAAAATTTGTCCATATTATGTTTTTTGATTTGGACGCTCTAATCTCAGGAACTAAATAGTTAATAAGCATAGATGTTGTGATGATGACGAAGTTGTGGACAAAAGCCATCCTTACAAATATTATAAATTAGAAAGTGAGTTTGTTTGTTTGTTCCGCTTTCACGCCGTAACTACTAAACCGATTGCTTTGAATTTTTGCAGACGTAAAGTTAGAAGTCTGGATTAAATAATAGGATACTTTTTATCCCGGAAAAAATTTGATATTCCCGAGGGAAAACAAAAGTATTGGTATAGATGGCGCTGTGTGTATTGGTATATGCCACATAGGCTACTTTTTATCCTTATGTGACGCGAGCGAAGCCGCGGGTAAAAGCTAGTATAAAATAGTCCAACCAGAGTTTTCTTCCTTGCTATTAAATTAACAAATCAGTCAAACCAACTTATAAAATACCTGACAATTATTCGCCAAGTCGAGCGTGTATATATTAGTTATATATGTATATAATGCATATAATTTTTACATTGTATGCATTAGATTATATCAACTTTAATTCGATTTTAATGACTAATGCCTTACAGACATTTTAGCTTCTAACCTCAATGTTAATTAGTTGTCAAGTAACTTATTTATTATTCTAAAAGACTATAGTATTATCTGAGGGCATGGCAGTGCCCCTGCCAAGTCGAGCGTGATGCAAACACTACCGTACCATCCTTTACTGAGAATAGTTAAGGAACTTAAGTTAAATATATTAGATGTAGGAATTTTTCATAACCTCTTGGTGCGACCTACCTCTGATGAAGCTGCCATGATTTATATATTAGTTTCTAATATATAAAGAATATTTTTGTTTGTCCTACTAATTTTAGGGTTTAGTATTACAGATATTTTTTATTTGTATTAATAGTTTTAGTCCTTAGTTTTTTGGCATTTGTTAGATAGGTTTAAGTTAAGATGGAACTGGCGTGAACTGTGTTCAAAAGTTCCTAAAAAAAAGAATAAAAAAAAATCCTTTACTGAAACCATTTTACCGCATGTTCAGGCCCTTATTTGAGAACTTCTGGATAATACTAGAACGCTGAAAATTTTATCATCCAAAAGATTTAAAGGGTAC